CCTGGGTTCGATTCCTCAGCACCACATAAGCAAAAAGAAAAAAGCCGGAAGTGGCACTGTGGCTCAAGTGGTAGAGCGCTAGCCTTGAGCTGAAGAGCTGAGGGACAGCGCCCAGGCCCAGAGTTCAGGCCCCATGACCGGACCCAAAGGAAAAAAAAAAAAGTTTCATGGAATTTCCTGCCCAGGCTGGCTTTGAACCATGATCCTCAGATTTCAGCCTCCTGAGTAGCTAGGATTAAAGGTGTGAGCCACCGGTGCCCAGCTACAAAAAGCAATTAAAAGGAAATTTTGGTCAACAGACATATAGAAAAGGCCAGGGATGTATAAGCCAGTCACTCTAACTGTTAATGTTGAAGCATGTGCACTCTTGTATATACATTAGCAAGTATGAACTCTGAAAAGCTCCAGTCCCAGAAAGTATGATTCAGTAATCTGGAGATTCTGATGCATAATTAGGTGTAGAGACACCACTAGTAAATGGCCTTATCAATATCCTTTAACATTTTCGTGCCTCATTACTTTTGGAGGTGACAAAATAGTGACTGTAAGACTAAGTGGCTGTTTTCTCTCTCCAGGAAAAGAGAGGGAACAAAGCATCTGATAAAGCCACCCTCTTGGCCTTTGATGCCTTGGTGACCTTCTGTGAGGAATTAGGGTGAGTGACTTACTTTGCATGTGAAACAAAGTATCATTTCCTTCTCCAGTACCTATTTACTCTACCAGCTAATTAAGTAAGGTAAGATAGCTCTTGGGCCATTATATTGAGTAACATGGAAGTCACTTCCTTCTGGAGGCCTCAGAAACTCTTCACAGTGAGGTTGGGCATGATGGATCACAGCTATAATCGTAGCTACTGGGAAGGCAGAAGTTGGACCAGGTTTAAGGCCAGCCCACAAAGCAAGACCACATCTCAACCAAAAGAGCTGTGTGTGATAATACACAGCTGTAACCCTAGATGTGTGGGAAGCATTAAGTAGAAGGATTGTGGCCCATGCCAGGTTGGACAAAGCTGTTAGGCACCAGGGACTTATGCCTATAATCCTAGTTATTCAGGAGACTGAGATCTGAGGATAGAAGTTCAAAGCCAGCCCTGGTAGGAAAAAGTCCTTAAGACTCTTATCTCCAATTAGCCACCAAAATAACAGAAGTGGAGCTGTGGCTCAAAGTGTTAAAGTGTTAGCCTTGAGTGAAAAAGCTCAGGGACAGTGCCTAGGTTCTGAGTTCAAGCCCCTTAACCGACAAAAAAAAAAAAAAAAGCAAAAGAACTGGGGTATGTGGTTGAGTGCTGACCTAGCAAAACTGCTAAAAACAAAACAAAAAACCTGGAAACTGGCAATGTGAGGGTTTGTTCATCATCTTGGGTGGTCATCCATTCTCCTACTCTACTCTATTCCAAGCTACTCAGTCCTGAGTTATGTGGCCAGCTCTGAGCCACTGGCATTGTGGTCATCACATGCTACTGAGCTGGGACGTGTGGCTTTATTTGAGTAGAACTGATTCTTGTCTAGGCCTCAAACAGAGCATGTGACCCACTTACCTCTGGGGTGGGGCTGGGGTTTAATGTGTTTCAAAGAGAACAGCCTTTCTAATGGAATGGCAGCCTGCCCACATGGTATCCACTTATCTAGTTGTCTGCATCTCTGGCAATGAGATGAGGGCCCTGGAAAAAGCCAACAGCTGCTTGGGACAGGTGTGTCTGTGCACATGTGTGTGGGGGGGGGGGGGGACGCCTCTATGTGAGGAATACCCTGGGGGATTCTGTATGCTTTGGTCTAAAATGGTCATGCATCAGATCTCATGGAGTAATCCTGAGAGGATGTGAACAGAAGTGGTGGCCTCAGACTGAGAGATGAATAAACCAAGCTTGGAGAGCTCATGTTCACAAAAGCTCATGAGAGACAGAAGCCTCTAAAAACTTGGGCCTCTCATTTTCAAGTAGTGCTCATTTCATGCATGTATCATCTTTAATTGAGTCTCTTCTTTGTCCCTCCACCCCCACCCATCTTTTTCGTTTCGGTCTGGTTCTGTGGTCCTGGAGATTGAACCCAAGACCTCTTGTGTGCTAGGCAAGTGCTCCATCACTAAGCTGCATCTCCACCTCTCCATGACTGTATTTTTTTTTTTTTTGTCAGTCATGGGGCCTGAACTCTGGGCCTGAGCACTGTCCCTCAGCTCTTCAGCTGAAGGCGAGCACTCTACCACTTGAGCCACAGCACCACTTCTGGCTTTTTCTGCTTATGTGGTGCTGAGGTATCCAACCCAGGGCCTCATGCATGCAAGGCAAGCACTCTACCACTGAGCCACCTTCCCAGCCCCCCATGACTGTATTCTTGAAGCAGGGTACCAAGTACATAGTACTGGTATCTAGCAAACATTTTGGGCTCTCCTGTGAAAGCCAAGGACAAACTTACTTGAGCTCTCTGTTTGTATTTCCATCTCCCTCCAACCCACTGATGAGTTAGTGGCTTCTGGAATGAGTTATTTCTAAAAACGGCCATCTCTAATTTGGCCTCTGTGGCAGGACCACTCCCAGAAAAATGTGGTGGGCTGAGGTGCCAGGTTTACCCCTCTTATGCCCATTGCCAGCAGAACCCTTTTTAGGCTCCGGTAGAGAGAATTGCTAAATTTGGTTTTGGGCTCTGTGAACAGAGAGCTCTCACTTCTGGTGAGGAATGAAAGGACCTAGTGTGCTTGCTAATTGTCAAGAGTGCCCTCTGCTGGGGAAAAACCTTGCTCATTCCTGTCAAAGGCTTTGGAGGTTAGAACTCCAGGAAAGGCGGACATGTCCTCCATGGGGCCTTTGACCATATTTCTTTGAGACGTGTTGGGGTTGTGAGGTCCAGGTATCTGTGGGACCAAGGGAAAGCTTACCCTGCACATGTGGAGCCTGTCCCTCCTTGTTGGTTACTTGTCTCGTTGGTTACTAACACATGAAGTTCTACATCCCAGGATTCCCAGGCCCTGGGCTGAGTAGACCTGGTGGCATGTCTGTATTGGCCCCTTCTCTTTGAGTGAAAAGGACTATTTTTTTTGTTGTTTTATTGTTGTTGTTTTTTTTTAATGGTATAAATGGTGTGAAGGATGAAGGGGGAAAAACACCTTTTCTTGATTGTCAAATAATTTGTTCCTTTTTTAAAGCATAGTTCTGGTTTGAGGTCATTTCCCTTAGGGCAGGTACCTTGCAGAAGGACAGAGCTGTGGGGTGGACTCGGCCGAGATGGGATATTTCATGTAATGAAGTTGTATTGGGTACTGGAGGCTCATGCCTGTAATCCTAATTTCTTGGTAGGCTGAGATATGAGAATCATGGTTCAGCATCAGCCTGGGCAGCCAAATACATGAGATTTATTTCTAATTAACCAGTATAAAGCCATGGAGCTATGGTTCAAATAGTAGAGTGCTAGCCTTGAGCAGAAAAAGCTAAGGGAGGGCTGGGAAGGTGGCTCAGTGGTAGAGCGCTTGCCTTGCATGCCTGAGGCCCTGGGTTCGATTCCTCAGCACCACACAAGCAAAAAGAAAAAAGCCGGAAGTGGTGCAGTGGCTCAAGTGGTAGAGTGCTAGCCTTGAGCTGAAGAGCTAAGGGACAGCGCCCAGGCTCAGAGTTCAGGCCCCACGACCGTACCCAAAAAAAAAGCTAAGGGAGAGCACCTAGGCCTTGAGTTCAAGCTCAGTACTGGTACAGAAAATAAAATGAAATTGTAATAGGGAACTAGAGTGTTAGGGTACGATTCTGGGAAGGGGAAGAGGGAAGGTCTGGGACCAGACCAACAGAAAAATACTCAAGCTCAGAAATAAGAGCAGGGTCGGCAGCCAGCAGGTCTCATCTCTACACTTGTCTTTTATCTCCACACGTCAGATATGAAAAAACATTATGCTTGACAGAGGAGTTTTAGCTGTTAGGAGTATTTTAGGAACAGCTACTAGACTTGAAGCAGCCTCTGGCCTGGAAGCCTGGACACTTGAGATACGAGAAGAGCTTTGCATTTAGGCTTAGGCTGAATTGTCTTGTGGGGCTCTGAGTTGGGGAGCCCAATAGCCTAGCATGCTCCTGTTCACCCTCTCTGTGCTCCTTTGCTTATTCATTCACTAATTTAGCCAGCAGATATTGATACCAACTCCGCCATGTCCACTGGCCCTGGGGATACAATGGGGGCCTTGGTCCTAAGGAGAAGACAGGCACACTTCATCAATGGCTTTGAAGGAAAAGTGCATGGTATTTTGGAGAGTATGTAGTAGATGGCTCAAACCCAATCATGCGGGTCCTGAAGGTTTACTTGAGGAAGGCAGATTTACACAACTGAGAGCTGAAGGACAAGAAAGCATTCACGACAGAGAGCATCCGATTCAAATGGGAGCAACATGAGTGGAGCCCCATACAGGAGAGAACATGGCATGTTCTGGAACTGAAGGTCATCTTGAGAACAGGAGTGTGTGCCACACCCCACTGAGACTTGCAGACCTCTGTGAGGTTGGCTGGGAAAGTTAGCTGGCTACCACATCTAGATAGAAAATAAGCTCTAGCTACTCAGGAGACTGAGCTCTGAAGATCGCAGTTCAAAGCCAGCCCAGGCAAGAAAGTCCGTGAGATTCTTATCTCCAGTTAACCCCCAGAAAACTGGAAGTGGCACTGTGGCTCAAGTGGTAGAGCACTTACCTTGAGCTGAAGAGCTCAGGGACAGTGCCCAGGCCCAGAGTACAAGCTCCACGACCAACCAAAAAAGAAAAGGAGGGCTCACAAGTTAGCAGATTAGAAAAGGATTTTTTTTACTTCAGTGATTTTTTTGGTCCTCTTCTGTTGAGGATTTATGAAGTTGCTGTTAGTTGCTTCGTAGTCATCACTCTTTTTACCCAAAGCACAGAAGAGGCCCTCTTCATATGCTTCCCAAAGTTGTGGTGGCAGCAGGGATAGGAGATGCAGAACCAGTATTAGACCAGTCTCCCTCTCTAGCTATCTGGCCATCCCTTAAGCCAGATCCAGTATATATGACTAGACTCTCCTGGCAAGGTAAGATCACAACAGGGATTTAGGCCCTGAGTCAGGGACCAGAGGGGCCACCATCTGTATGAGGTGAACAGGTCAAGTCACCTGTAACCCACTGCCTTCTGGCCCCCAGGAAGTCAGGTCACTCCTCTTCATATTCTTTCCTCTCCGACGGAGAGAAAAAACCAAACAGAACAGCAAACAAGATGAAGAACAGGAACGTGCCAACAAACAAGCCGATGACTATAAGGCCCCCTACTTCCCAGGGGTTCTCCCAGAACTCTTCCTTCCACAAGTCCTTGTAGAATATTATTTGGCGCATATTAACCTGGAAAAAAAGGGACAGAGGCTCTGAGTGCAGGGAGCCCCTCAAGGCCCTGTTCCTGGTGCTGTTCTTCATGCCACCAACCTCAAGCTTTGTGGCAGACAGAGTGAACAGCTAGCCATCTCTGTGGCCAGTGGATACTAAGGGGCTGGTCAATTTTGAGCTCAAAGTTCCCCGCAAGCAATAAATGGAGTTTCTTCTGAGGCCCCCACTGTCGTCTGTTGCTGCTTTCCTCAAGTCACCCTTGTGGACAGTGAGATGACTTTCCCATCCCTGAGACCTGCTCAGCTACAATCTAAAAGTACCATTTCAGGTCTTCTCTGTTTTTTTCTGTCCCAGTGGGGAGCATTTAAGAAGTGAGCATAGGAACCCAGTCACATCCAGCAGTGTGTGCCTATAGTTCCATCTACTTGGAAAGTTGAGGCTAAAGGATTGCTAGAGTTCAGTTCCAGGCCAGCCTGAGGTACATAGAGACTGTCTCAAAAAAAAAAAAAAAAAATGTTATTTTGCTGAGGAGCAGCTGAGTCCTTGGTAATGCCTTGCAAACAGAAGGTCCATCTGTCTTCTGGAAAAGGAGCCAGTAACAGCAAAATACCTGAGCCAGGTAAAGGATTAACAGAGGAAGAAGAAAGGAGCTGTTACCTGTTTCTGCTGCTAATGGTTCCGTGCCTTGAGAGCAAATCAGGGTTATCCTCCAGGTCCTACACGTCAATGAGCCTAAGCTGAAGAGCCTGCCAGGTGACCAGAACTGTAGTCTACTCACAGAAGTGACTGTTGAGAGGCAAAGCCTTTGACATTGCCAAGCAGCCCAGACTTATCATTGCTGCCACCAAAGCAAACAGAGGTGGGCCAAGGCCAGTTGCCTGGCAACCACTGCTCCCTTTCTGCCTTTCATAGTCTCCTCTGCTGTGTTCTGTCCCTTTGTGATGTCGTTGTGGAGGTGCTCAGGGCATGGGTGAAGGCATCTTTGAGCACCTCCACAACCATCCACCTCACCTGGGCACACATTGGCTTTGGCTCTCAGGCTACTGACCTGTTGACTGAGAGGACCTGTCTAGAACGCAGGAAGCCCTGGGGCCAAGACTGCCACCTGGCATCACTTCCTGTGGTGTGGGTGAACGATTAACCGCAGCTACGTCTGGTACCTCCTGGAACACAGTTCTGGGCGGTAGTGTTTATCACTTTGGAGCCTACTGTCTCCCTGGCACTGCGCAGCGCCAGTGACTGTGTGTGGTTGGTTCCTGCCCCTTGGTGTGACAGGGTGCCCTGCTCTTGAAACCTGGTGCCCACCTTTGACTTCTTTAAAAGCTAGTCTATAGCCAGGTACTGTTAGTTCATGCCTGTAATCCTAGCTACTCAAGAGGCGGGGATCTGAGGAGCTTAGTTTGAAATTAGCCTCGGCAGAAAAGTCTCCATGAGATTCTTATCTCCAATTAATCACTCAAAAACTGGAAGTGGCACTGTGGCTCAAAGTGGTAGAGTGCTAGTCTTGAGCAAAAGGGACAGCATCCAGGCCCTGAATTCAAGCCCTACAATCGACAAACCCCCCAAACAAACAAACAAAACTAGGCTTTGTGGGTCTTCTATTGCCAGGAACTGCCAGGTACTGTGTCCAGTCATGAGACAAGAGAGGTAGGCCTTGGCCTCTAGCCCAGTTCTGCGTGTTTCCACACGGGAGCTTTGACAGTCTCTGGGATGTCAGGATACTGTGCCAGGTGACTTTCCCCAGGTGTCTGTTGCCAGGGGTAGCTGACGGGTGATGACTACTTCAGTGAAGCATTCTAAACTCCGGGCTGAGCTGAGGCCTGGCTAGTCTGATGCTTTCTTTTACCTGTGTAAAACTTGCTGACTAACTTCCTTGGCATGCTGAATGTGCACAGCGAGTAGCATGCTGGCCTCTGGCACACCCTGGCACTTCTGCTCCATCAGTTAAGTCAGAGGCTGATCAAGAGTCACTTGTGTTCTCAAACCAGTTTGTGGTGGTCATGCTTGTTTGTTATAATTACATAATTGAATGTAACATCTAATAAACAAGTGAAACAAGTCCAATTTTCTAGACAGGGACAGACTCAGAGGTGAAATATTCTTATCCAAGGTCATTCAGCTAAGAAGTAATAACTGGGTTGGAGTGTAGAGCCAGGTGCCCAGAGCCTAAGCTCTGAGGTGCTATGCTGTACTTCAGAGTGAGCGGGCAAACAGAACTTTTTTCTGTAAATACCACTAGAACTACTTTGGAATAACTTTGTAATCACACAATATTCCTGTCGAAAGAAATGAGATGTGACAACTAAGCTTTATGCACATCTTATTATAATCCAGTGGCACCTCATACTCTTGATTCCTTTGCAATTTTTTTTTTTTTTTTTTTGGATGGTTGTGGGGCTTGAACTGTGGGCCCAGGCGCCATTCCTCAGCTCTTCACTCTACCACTTGAGCCACAGCACCACTTCCGGCTTTTTCTGCATATGTGGTACTGAGGAATTGAACCCATGCGAGGCAAGCACTCTACCACTGAGCCACCTTCCCAGCCCCTCGTTCTGCTCTAATGAAAACACCAATATAAATACAGCAGGAATGCTGTTCAGCAGCCCATAGTTAGAGCAAAGTCACAGCTGGCCTCATCCCGAAAGGGAACAGGGGATGTGTATGTTTCTCCTTCAAATAAGGTGCATAAAGAATGTATGTCACACACAGGAAAGTTGCTTTTACTGGATTTTTCAACTAGCTGTTGTCCCCAAGTGGGTAATTCTGCTTTCAGAGAATGGCATGCTGGAGACAGGAGGAGAATATAGGCCCAAGTGGTGTAACTTGTTGTGTGTGTGGAAAGAGTTCCTCTCCTCAGAGGATGTGTAAGTGGAGGGTGTGTAAATGGATGTGTAAGTGGAGGATGTGTACGTGGAGGGTGTGTAAATGGATGTGTAGGTGGAGGGTGTGTAAATGGATGTGTAAGTGGAGGGTTGTAAATGGGTGTGTAAGTGGAGGGTATATAAATGGATGTGTGAGTGGAGGGTGTGTAAATGGATGTGTAAGTGGAGGGTGTGTAAATGGATGTGTAAGTGGAGGGTGTGTAAATGGATGTGTAAGTGGAGATGTGAAGGCTACGTGAGAGTTGAAATGGAGAAAACTGTTTTTAGGAACAATTTGTTCTCCGAGTTTTTTTGGAGATTTTTACTTTATTTATTTTTGTGCTAGTCCTGGAGCTTGAACTCTGGGCTTGGGCACTGTCCCTAAGCTTTTATGCTTAAGGTTAGCACTCTACCATTTGAACCAAGTCTCCACTTCAGGCTCTTTGCGGTTAATTGGAGATAAGAGTCTCATGGACTTTTCTCTCTGGGTTGGCTTCCAACCATGATCCTCAGGTCTCAGCCTCCTGAGTAGCTAGGATTCAGGCGTGAGCTACTGGCACCTGACCATTTGAAGATTTTTATTGTAGGTTGCTTTAACATGTTAATTTTTTTTTTTTTTTTTGGGTCCGGTCATGAGGCCTGAACTCTAGGCCTGGGCGCTGTCCCTCAGCTGTTCAGCTCAAGGCTAGCGCTCTACCACTTGAGCCACAGCACCATTTCCGGCTTTTTTTTCCAGCTTATGTGGTGCTGAGGAATCAAACCCAGGGCCTCATGCATGCAAGGCAAGCGCTCTACCACTGAGCCACCTTCTCAGCCCCTAACATATTAATTTTTAAGCAAATAGATTTAAGAGAAAACCTTTCTATGCTCTGCCCAAGTTTTGCTAACAAGATTCTTGCCTCAATAGCTTTATTACGGCTTGTAATAAGGTTACTATGCAGACGATAAGCATACAGATTTGCAGAGTAGTGTGAGCATAACCCTTTTGAGGAACTGGGAGCAGACAACTGGTGGTGCACAAGCCACATTCAGAGAATAGGGGGGTGGGGAGGCTGGTGAGAGCACTGTGCACTAAGGTGGTGTGGTCTGGGTGCTGTGGGGCAGTAACACTCCATCTTTCTCCAGGCTTGCAGCAGCCTACTGCGTCTTCCTTCGTGGCCATCACCCATCTTCAGGCAGCAGGCTTATAGCAGTGTTCTGTTTATTTTCCCACAATGGAAGAACATGTGGCTCCTCCCCAGAGTAGAGCTGTGTATCCTGGGAGAGTGCCAGGCTACTGTTGAGCTAGAGCAACTTTGTTCATTTGAATTGGGTGGCTTTTTATTTGGGCCTAGCCATTGCGTGTTTCCTTGCAGAGAACAAGAAGATACCAATGAACCTGCCAACCAGCCTGTGTCCAAAACTGTCTGCCTGTCTGTCCTTGGGCTAGCAACCAGAATCTTGTAGCAAAGTCTCAGCCTCAGTCATTCTTGGTGCTGATGAAACAGGAAGTCCAGCAGCGGCTGTACTACTTTTTATGAACCTAGGGCTTCTGGGATCCTCCAGCTGGTAGTGTTAAGAGTGAAAAATGCATTGTTTCCCTCACTGTCACTGGGCTTCTCACCTGATACCACAGAACTGGCCCCACACCTGCACTTACCTGTTGGGCTCTCACCTACTCACGTAGAGGCAATCTTAAGACAGAATTTGGGTGTGGACGTTTGGGTGTAGGGCTGGTTGATGGAGGATAGTGGAATCAGAATCATATCTGCCTTACGCCCCACAGGCATTGAGCCTGGGTGTGGTGAACTGTTCTGGAGCCAGACAGGCTAGACCCAGAGGCTGGCTCCTCACTTTTCATCTGTTCAAACTTGGACAAATCACCTAGTCTGTCACTAAGGCTAAATTTCCTCATCTGTAAATGGGATTTGTAGTATTGATGGCATGGAAGTATTGTGACGATTAAGTGAATTTATCTGCATCAAAGTATTTAAGACAAGCCAGGCCTGATGCACATGCATGAAATCCCAGTACTTACAGGCTGAGGCAGGAGAATCTCCAGTTTGGGCTAGCCTGGTCTTGCTACATAATGAGACCTTATCACAAAAAAAAAAAAAAAAGAAAAAGAAACTGGGCGCTGGTGGCTCACGCCTGTAATCCTGGCTACTCAGGAGGCTGAGATCTGAGGATCATGGTTCAAAGCCAGCCCAGGCAGGAAAATCTGTGAGACTCTTAACTCCAATAAACCACAGAAAACCAGAAGTGGCGCTGTGGCTCAAGTGCTTGCATTGAGCTGAAGAGCTGAGGGACAGCGCCCAGGCCCAGAGTTCAAGCCCCACAACTGACCAAAAACAAAAACCAAAAAAAAAAAAAAAATAAGGCTAGCACTGGTGGTTCAGGCCTATAATCATAGCTACATAGAAGGTTGAGATCTGAGGATCATGGTTCAAAGCCAGCCCAGGCAAGAAAGTCCATGAAACTCTTATCCCCAATTAACCAGAAAACCATAAGTGGAGCTATGGATCAAAGTAGGAGAGTGAGCCGGGCACCGGTGGCTCACACCTGTAATCCTAGCTACTCAGGATCTCGGTTCAAAGCCAGCCTGGGCAGGAAAGACTGTGAGACTCCTGTCTCCAATAAACCACTAGAAAGCTGGAAGTGGCACTGTAGCTCAAGTGGTAGAGCGCTTGCCTTGAGCTGAAGAGCTGAGGGACAGTGCTCAAGCCCAGAGTTCAAGTCCCATGACCAACCAAAAAAAAAAAAAAGAAGAGTGGGCTGGAAAGGTGACTCAGTGGTAGAGTGCTTGCATATATGAGGCCCTGGGTTCAATTTCTCAACACCACATAAGCCGAAAAAGCTGGAAGTGGTGCTGTAGCTCACGTGGTAGAATGTTAGCCTTAAGCTGAAGACCTGAGGGAGAATGCCAGACCCAGAGTTCAGCCCACAACTGACAAAAAAAAAAAAAAAAAAAGTAGAATGCTAGCCTTGAGCAAAATCGTTCAGGGACAGTGCCCAGGCCTTGAGTGCAAGCCCCATGACCAACCCCTGCCCCCCGCCCACCCCCCAAAAAAGCTTAAGACAATGCCTGGACAAGTATAAGACCTGAGTGAATTTTATCGTCATATCATCATTATTAATCTGCATTTCATTCTTTTGGAGCTGAAAGCTGGAAGATTCTTGGGTTTCTTTTGTTTGGAAACACTTCCTCTCTGGTTCTTCAGCCCAAACATGCCAGGCAAGTCCTTGAACACCAGGAAGTGGAACCAGCCAGTGAGAATTCCTGCTTATCTGTCCCTGTTTATGTGGCCTGGACTGCCAGCTAGAGCTAGCAGAGACTGGCATCTTCTCTCTCTAGTCTATTTTCTGGGTAGGCAGGGCTGTTCCCGGGCAGACAGAGTGTGTGCTGAGAGCAGATCTAGGTGACAGGTGATGTGTGCAATCACAGAGCCCTTTATGGCTCCAGAGAGCAAGTAGAAAGCACTCTGGGAAGCTCCATTTCAGCCCCATGTCTCCATTGCCCTCCTTTCCCCTCATTGTGGCTGAAAACAAGGTAAACTGAAGGCAGGGAAGCAGGAAAGGGTTGTATCTTCACAGGACTCGTTTTTAATTTTTGGTTTTAGGATTGAACACAAGACCTCACACATGCTAAGCAAGTGCTTTATTTCTTGAGCCACTCACCCAGCCCAAGACTGTTCCTTTTTTTTTTTTTTTCTGGTTGGTCGTGGGGCCTGAACTCTGGGTCTGGGCACTGCCCCTCAGCTCTTCAGCTCAAGGCTAGCACTGTACCACTTGAGCTACAGAGCCACTTCTGGCTTTTTCTGCTTATGTGGTGCTGAGGAATCGAACCCAGGGCCTCATTGCATACAAGGCAAGCGCTCTACCACTGAGCCACCTTCCAAGCCCCTTGATCCCTTATTTAAAAGGACAAATAATGACAATTCATAGTTTTGTTTTTATTTTTTGTTTGTTTGTTTTTTTGTCAGTCATGAGGCCTGAACTCTGGGCGTGGGCACTATCCCTCAGCTCTTCAGCTCAAGGCTAGCGCTCTACCTCTTGAGCCACAGCACCACTTCTGGCTTTTTCTGCTTATGTGGTTCTGAGGAATTGAACCCCGGGCCTCATGCTTGCAAAGCAAGCACTGTACCACTGAGCCACCTGCCCCTCCCCACAATTCATAGATCATTTAGCTCGCCCCAGGAAGTAAATGCCAGGATTAGTCCATCTCACTGGAGAGGAGGCTTCACTTCGGGACGTGGAGTCACACAGCTGGTGACAGACAAGAGCCTGAGCACAGACAGGCCAGTGCATCAGGATGCAGTTTATAGGACAGTACTGGGGGGCCTGACTTCTCTGACTGCAGAAATCTGTGAGGATACAGTAGCCTGAGCCTGATTATGCAGGGTATAGAGAAGTTCATGAACAGTGAAAATGCTAAGTGGTATTCCTCGTCCTAAGGGCTTCCCTGGAGCAGGCAACAGTGATGCCCAATGGTGTCTAAATGCAGGTCAGGAGTGGTAATGCTCCCCTCCACTGGTTCCATGGCATTAACTGCCTGTGTGGCCTTCATCCCTATGTGATTTTCCAGCTTTAATGGGTACAGGAAGAGCAGTGGCCTGGAAAGAAGAGTGACTAGCCATGCCCTTGAGTTCTGGGCACCACCCCCTGATGCACAGAGCCCAGCCAACCTCAAAAACACGTAACCAAAAGCTTTTTACTGGGAAACAAGCAGGCAAATATTGGGCTAGAATACTGACATCTCCCACCTCTGGTGGGAGCTTGGAATCCAGTAGCTATTGCACAAAGTCCCTCTGATTGGCTTGCTCCTCTTCAGCCTGAATTAGCAGAGCCCCAAGGGCCAACTCCTTGAGGGTATGGCTATTCTTTGTCAAAATATGGGGAGCCTCGCGTCCTTGTTTTGTTAAAAAGTTCAGGTTGGCAGAGGACTCACTTTACTGAATCATTGAAATAGTCAACTCCTTCTCCAAACCCAGTGTCCACTGGCAAATGGGCTTTGCAGTTCTGCGCCTGTGTCTGGCCTTGTTTCCTTGCTTAGACTCCAAGTGTCCTGGCATCTGGGGGTCCTTGTCTGCAAGGGTGAGAGCCGCAGGGCAGGTCCACAGCTCATGACTTGGCTCTTGGCAGGCTTGTGCCGCTTCTCTTCAGCCATCTCCCCACCGTCCCTCATGGGGGGGTCATGGGCTGCACCTGGACCTTCCTGCCTCTTGGCTCTTGGCAGCAGCAGCGAGCGCAGCAGCAGCTGCAGGCTATGAGCAGCAGCAGCAGGACAGTGGCTGCAGGAGGGAAGAACAGGTGTCAGAAGCTGAGGAGGGAAAGGATGCCCATCCTCCCTGCAAAGAGCCTGTCTGGAGATGCGAGGTGGCCCTTCCCCAGGTCTGTGTGAGTGGTCAGAAAGACCTCAGACTCTCACAGGGATGTTGACTGCCCTGTGCTGGCCCCACGTCCTGGCGGTCTCCCTGTTGTCTCCCCTGCTGCCACGCCTGGCTCCCTTCGTCTCGCAGTTGACACTTGGTAGAGTTGCTGGGTCTAGTTCCCAGCAGCGTCTAGTATCGCCCATCGCTTGAGAAGTGTCAGAGGATATGGGGAACGCCCCTGGCTTCCCCTAGGGACAGCTACTTTTCCTCCTTATCTGGAGAACTCCACCACCCCTCAGCCTCTAGCCAGCAAGCAGATACCAGGAAGAACCATGGGACCTGGAGGGGAAATCTGAATGCCCCACTTGCCTGTGAAAAGGACGATGATGGAAAAGGCCACAAGCTCCACTGGCTCGGCCTGGGGCAGCTCTCGCAGCTTCTGCAGCAGCCTTTCACCCACAGAGCGCATTTCCTGCACAAAGTCCGTGGCCATCGTGCTGTGTGTGCTCCTGCTGGGGCTCCGGTCGTCTGTGATAAGGCAGAGACAGACAGAGTGCCTAGAGTTCTCCTGGGGCTGGCCACAGTCTGTGAGGCAGCACCAGGGAGCCACCCTCTCTCCCACCACAGCCTGGCTGAACGGGTTTGTCTGGTCTCACCACATGCACCACTGGTGGCTCATGAGAGAGGCAGGAGGTAGGGAATAACCCTGGGGGCTGCACTCAGTGGCAGCAGCCCTCAGCCCTTGCCAGTGCTGCCAAGCAAGAAGGAAGCAGGGACATAGAGACTCCTCTGAGGGGCTGCCAGCCAAGGTCAGGATGACCGAGTTTCTGACCATGAGTTGGTGTGGGCTCGCCATTACGTTGTTTTTCTCTTTGGACACCACTCCCAGGTTTGGTCAGCTCCCCTGCCAACAGCTGGGTCATTCGGGACGTGAGTGTCTCCCCTGGATGTCCCCAGGGTGGAGAGAGGCCTTGAGAGTCTAGCCTGGTGCATTTGCCACCCACCACATGCTGGGGGCAGGAGGATCAGGCTCCGAGAGCAGGTTCATGGGGCACTAGTCTAGAGACGGGAAGCTGAGTCCCACAGGGCACGGCCCTCACCAGTGAGCCCAGCTTTACCCATTTGTTGTTCTGTGAGAAGGGAGAGCACCTGTGCTCCCAATTTTTCCCCAGGAGTCTTCTCTGTCCAGAAGGGATCAGCCAGCCCTCCCTTCTTAGCTTGGACCTGGTCCTCTAGACTGACTAAGAGAGGTTCTCTTCAGAGAGGCCGGGAGGTCCCGAGGCAAAGCTCTAGGCTAGTCTGCGGTAGTCCCTAGTGGGCATTAAAGGTTCTTTCTCTTCCCACTTCTGTGGGCACAAGGCAGCCAGTGCCTCTTTAGTGTGACTAGGAATAGCCTGTGCCAGCCCAGCCTGAACCAGATCACCAAGGCTCTTATTTTAATCCTACGGGTGGTTTTAATCCTAGGGGTGGTGGGTGAGGTCGGTGGCCAGGGGCTTGTGCCAGAACTTCCATTTTAGTGATTGCCAGCTTGTCCCTGATCTGCACCAGCAAGGCTGTGTCCTCTGCTGTGGTTCTGCAAGTCCTGCACTGCTACCTGGCACAACAGGCTTAGAAACACCTTGCAGGTCCCCTCTGCCCTGCATGTAGCTTGCTGCCCTCCTGTGGCATCCCCCCCTGCCCCATTACAGAAGGCTGGACTCTGTCCACCTCCCGTGAGTCCCACTTGGTCTCCTAGGACCTGACTGCCCCTTTCCTCTGATATCGTTAGTAACTGGATGGCAGCCGATGTGTACTTTCCAAATTTCCTATGGGTTTTTCCTTTGCTTTTTGCTGTGCTGGGATTGAATCCAGAGCCTCACACATGCCAGGCACTACCACTGAGCTACGTTCCCAGCTTCATAATACATTCCCTAGTTTTTGTTTTTGTTTTTTAAGCTGTCCCCTAAAACAGTGTTTTAATCATCCTGTTTCCTTCTCCTTGCTGTGACATAGGACAGAACCCTTCATCTCAGGGAGAGGCCTGGGCTGCAGGAACACCCTCTGGGGGGTGCCTGGCCAGGGCTGGGAAAGTTGAAGCAGCCTTTTGTGTATGGCTTTGGAGGCTATGGCTCCATCCCTCCTACAAACATGTCAGGAGTATCATTGTTCATTTCTGGTGCCTGTCTAGAAGGAAGGTGGCAAGTTGGAAAGGGGGGGTTGTTTGGATGACAGTGAAGAGAGCAGGCAGAGGACTCAATGGTGGAGAGGCAGAAGGTTCCTCTCGTGCCTCCCCACCAGGGCCAGTGCACTTCTGCTGAATGGACCAGATCCCAGCTTGCAAGGTCAGAGGAGGCCCAGGATCCTGGGCTGCGACTAGTCTGTACCGACCTCCTTTGTTTTACGTAAGGGCAGCTGAGACTTGACAGTGCCCATCTTCTCTGCAGTTACGGCACGGTGGGCTCTGTCAGTACTTCTGCTGCCCATGCGCTGCCACTGGATGCCCGTGTCTGCTTTTAGCCAAAAGATAAGTCAGTACCACAGAGTTATGGTGAGGGCACTGCTTGAGCAGGGCTCCACAAGGAGCCAGGCCTCGGGCCCTTTGGAAGTCCATGGGCCGAAGCCCTGCTGTTACCAGCACATCACCGTTGGGCCGTGGCCTACCACACTTGGTGTTTGTTAGCAAAGGGCCAGATCTGCTGTCCTTGGGTCAGACCAAGCAAGACTGTCGACACCAAGCAAGACTGTCGAGGTGGAGTGGGCTTATGCAAGGATGGCATTCTCCTGTCCTATTTTGAGACCTCTGTGCCATCCCTTCCCCCAGGATTCCAGGGATCTCCTCCGCAGAAGAGTGGCGTACACATGGTTCAGAAGCAGGGCTGCTTTTCTCTCCTTTTCATCTTGGTTTGACTGTTTGAGCCTGATTGGCACTGTGCCCACTTGCCTAATGTAGCCCAATGGAGACACTCCTTAAAAGGGGAAGTGGGCAGGAGGCTGGTGGGTAGAAAGAGCTTTCTCACTAGTGTGCCACACCCAGATACCCCAAGAGACATGCTGGGGGAGGGGGAGGTACTTGCTTGTGTGCAAGCTTTGGTGTTGGGACTGTGGGTCTGTGTGAGCCTCTGAGAGTCAGGATTTGTAGAGGGGGGAGGAAGGCAGTAGGCTAGCAGGAAAGGCGGGGCTCAGGGATCAGAAGCTTGGGCTACAAAGGCAGTATCCTTCTGGGACGTGCAGTTGGAAAGCGGCAGACTCCTGGCCACTAGGTCTGGCTCCCCTCCGGGAAGAGCATTGGTCCACACCAGAAGTGGGCCACCCACTTGGACAGCACCAAAGCTTTGCACCTAGGACTTCTTGGAGCAGCCAACTCAGAGCTGAATTAGCCAGTAAGACCTGGCCAGCCTGACTTAGGGCTGCCCCTCAATCTGTCTTGCAAAACAAGTGAGTCCATGGCCAGGTGCCGGAGGCTCACACCTGCCATCCTCGCTACTCAGGAGCCTGAGATCTGAGGATTGCAGTTCAAAGCCAGCCCGGGCAAGAAAGTCTGTGAGTCTCTTATCTCCAATGAACCACCAGAAAATGGGAAGTGTCTCTGTGGCTCAAGTGGTAGAGCGCTTGCCTTGAGCTGAAGAGCTGAGGGACAGCGCAGGCCCAGAGTTCAAGCCCCATGACCAACAAAACAAAAAACAAGTGAGTCCATTGGGCATGTCTGAAGAGGAGCCCTCTGGTTGGTCATTTTCAGCCTAGGTTATGTCTGAGCAGAGCAAGCCCATGCAAGAGGGGGGAGCTAGAGGTTCTTGTTCTCCACAAAGAGGAGGGGGGCACATTCCCACAGGTCCCAGGCGTCTTCCCGGTGGGCTATTTAAAGCAGGACCAGCAGACGCCTGGTGCCCGATATAACCCGCAGCGTCAGGTGACCCTGGGGCATGTGCTCCAGCTGCTGCTCTGAAAGGAGTGCATATTCCCAGCCCTGGCCCGTGCAAGTGGGAGCTTGGGACTAACCCCTCTTGCCTCTCTACCTTCACATGTCTGGGAGAGTGGAGTAGGGATACTGACCGTTGGCAAGTCTGTATTTTCCTAATCTATCTCAGATTCACAAGTCCTTCTAAAACCACATTTCTTGCCCAACAACCAGGAGAATTAGAGCCCCTCTTACTCCTATGCTCAGCAGTTCCTCAGAGCCTCCTGAGGAGCATCTGGAGCAAGAGATGGCTTCCCCTGGCCCCAGGGAGAGTGGCCTGGACGGCCACTGAGCCTGCTTTGAGCACGGCTAGTGAAGAGGGGCAGCCAGCAGGGCAGAGAGGGAGGCTGGCGAGCTAGAGGGACAGTGGCAATGTTCCTTTCTTGGCACAGAGAACTACCATGGAGCAGGTGTGCATCCTGTAGACCAGACAGCTGCCACTTGCTACCAAGCATTCCTGTTCCTCTTTACAAAACCAGTAGCTCAATTCCAAGCTTCCATGAGAAACAGCAGGCAGCGTGTTTGTGCCTGATAAGCACAAGGAGGGCTTCTTTCTGTGTGTTGTGGTTTAGGCTGGGTTAATGCTACCCTTGCCCTGCAGGGCATTTTCTTGCTTGGGAAGCAGCTTCAGTGAGGCATTGTGAACAGTTATAGATCTTTGGGTACAGAGGTGGGAATGCCTTCTGTGTACTGTGCTAAGCAAACATTTGGATGACTCCTCTCTTTCCTGACTCAGACTTGAAATAGAAAGTAGGTTCTTAAATCCCTGTTGGTTCTGCTGTCCTAGCCCAGAAGCTTTTGGGGACACCTTTCCTACACTAGTGACTGTTAGAAACTGGACCAGTACCTTGATGGAGCCATACAAGCTTGGCAGCCCCTTCCCTCACAGCTCAGGACCTGCTGGGCCTATGTCCTGTAGATGCAGGGTGTCTGCCTGCTTGGGTTGTCTAGACCCCTCCTTCTACCATGAGCTGAGCTTCTGTACGATGCCCAGGAGCTTAGCCTCCCAGCTCTCAGTACAGGCCAAAGCCTACAGCTTCTGATGAGCCAAAGACGCTTGGCCTGATCCTTGGTTTCCACTTTTCCCTGGATCATTGTTTTTCTTTCTTGCTGGATAGACGTTTGTTTGCTTTGGGAACAACATCGAGGGGGAGGGAGCCTAACCTTGGTGTGAGGACAGGAGGCAGCATGGATGAGTAGCCTCTGCTCATGAGGCCCTGTCCAGGAGGGTTTGTTCTTGCTGTCTGAAGAAGGAAGAACCAAAGAACTGACTCAGGGCAGGGTCGGCATTGCAGTGGTACAGCAGGGAGCCAGAAGCCAGAGATCCCTCTCCAGCCTCATTCACGCCGTCACTACCAGCCCTGGTAATGCATGCCCTCCGTCAGCCTTCAGAGTGTGTTGTCAGAGGGGCAGAGCGGGTGTCCAAAGATACTGAATGGGCACAGGACCGCTTCCTAGGCCAATCCCTAACTGAGCGCACTGGGCCAAGCCTGCGATGCATGGCAGCAGTGCTCTTGTCCAGGACTCAGGTGGACAGAGCCGCTCTGAGTCCTGTTACATCTTAGGGGTGTGAGCTATCTGGCCATACCTTGCCTTCAGCCTTCTTCACTAGGTAGACCACAGAGACAGAGAACCCGACCCTAATCCTGGGAAAACAGAGGCTCAGCAGGCATGTGGCTGCCGGACAGCCAAATCCCTTCCGGAAGCCCGCTGAATAGAAAAAG